GACGTATAGTTACATTTTTTGAGAGGTGCACGTCAGCGACGCCGATGGCCACGGCGAAGGGCTATGCGTAAGCGACGTAGCATACGCCGGCATTTGACGCAGAAGTATAAATCAGCCTTAATAGAAAATACAGTAACACTTTACAATAAGGTTGTATTAGTTTATTGTATTAGTTGATGTAGTACAAAAAATAAATTTACGTCTTTGTTATGGTCACACTTTATTTTAATGTGCAATTGACATTAATAACAAACCTTTAACTAAGCATTTAAGCTTAATAAACTACTAATTAGCTTCTTATTAATAGCAAAGTGCCTTTAGGTCCCTTTTTTGCATCATATAGTCTTTGTCAGGGGCGCTGCTGCCCGCTAGGAACCCTAAGACAACATATCAAGACTGTCACGGATGAAAAGGATGTGGTTGTGGACGAAAGTGTATCATATAAAAGCATCTCTGGGGACCCAAACATGATGTGGGCCCTTTGAATTGTCCTAATTTCCACACCCTTTAGCCGTACCCCTCATCTTTGTTAATAATTAGTGAGCTAAAAGTTTGGTCTTAGCTTGTCAGGCTGGGAAATGACCAGCTAAAACCAGCTTGACCAGCCTAGCCAGGCTGGGAGCCCAGCCAAAACCAGCTATGTCCAGTTTAAACCAGGCTGGTCAAAATGGTTTTAGCTGGTCATTTTCCAGCCTTTCCTGCTTCAGTGGCACTGCTTGCTGCAGATGTTAAAGATTTCACAAGTTTTCAAGCACTAACAGAAGCGTCAGCCAATCAGATCTCTTTATACAAATACCCAAAGTCCCTTTAAGGCAAGTCATTTCCCTCGGTGGTCATCTTTGATACGCCTCTTGGGCAGTATGCTTGGGCATTCTGTCTAAATGTGAAAACATCAAATTCTCCAAAACTACTTGCCAAGCTTACGGTTACATTTCATATTATAAATAACTAATAAAATTATACAACAACTGTCTAGTTTTATTTCTAAATGTTTATATCACACAAAATCTGCAGAAACTCGTCTGATCTAAGCCCCCCTTCCCTGGAGAATTGTCATTCTATATCGATCACTGGTTGGCTCTCTCCCATACTAGAAGGTGGGCTTTATTTGTCATATAGCGACTGCTGATTGGATTCTGTACTAGAAGGCAGGGCTTCATTCGCCATATTGACAGTTAGGCTGCGTCCGAAACCATTCTACTCGGCCGTTAGAAAAGTACGTTCTATACAGTATGAATGTGAAAGTATGAATGGAATTCGGACGTACTACATCCGCCATTTTGTCATGGTCTCGCGACCTACCTGCGTAATTTGCGTCGCTTCACTACCATTCATGAATTCGCTCGCGGGGCATCATGGGATAGCGCAGCATGCATGGGATGCGCACTCCAGAATTTCGCCGGAAGTAGTAAGTCATCCGGGTACTTCTCGCCTACTGATTTTCGAATTCTATGTATTCGGACATACTACTCGGCTCGCATACTGATTTTGGCGTACTATATAGTATGGAAGTATGCGGTTTCGGACGCAGCCTTACACTTTTCCCTATTCAAAATTATACGAATGACATGTCTTGTGTTTTCTAGAGTCTTTGAAATACCCCAGCTCAGACAATAGCTGATTGCGGACTAATTTCATTGGCTGACGCTGCTGTGATGATTGTGCCAGCCCCAACTTCTTCTAAGTACTGAGTAGGATTAGAATTGTAAGATAAGATCATACTTTATAAGTCCTAATAAATAATAGGCAGGTAATAAACCAGTAGTAAATGGTTTGAATTGTTACTTAAACTAAAGTGTAACTATGTTAGTTAATGAAAATAAAGCTTTACAATGTTAGCTCATGCTAACTCCCTGTGCACTGGCTAATTTTAACAAGCGTGAATTTGGACTTGACAGTAATAATTCATCAGTAAAGGTTGAACTATGATTAATAAATGCTGTACACGTACTGTTCATTATTAATTCATGCTAGTAAAAACATTAACCTTATTGTAAAGTGTGACCAAAAATTCATCATATAGTGTTAGCATTTCAGCTAATTTTGCTAACACATTCATTCATTCATTTTCTTTTTGGCTTGGTCCCTTTATTAATCTGGGGTCTCCACAGCGGAATGAACCGCCAACTTATCCAGCAAGTTTTTACGCAGCGGATGCCCTTCCAGCCGCAACCCATCTCTGGGAAATTCGCTAACACATTTTTTATGTAAAAAATAAGGCCTGAAACATCTTTACAAATAAGCTCTGAGTGTAAGCATACTTCTTCTTTCATGCGAAACAGATCGGGAGAGCAAGTGGGAATTAACCTGCGTCTTTTATGTGGAAAGTTTTTCACATTTGCAGTGTTGTGCAACTTTAGCGAACAGCTCGACCTTAACGTGTTCCCTTCTTTTTTCCTGTGTGTTTTGCTAGGTTGAAAAAGGGGCTGCGTGTAGCTAGTATCAACAAATGTGGTAGCGAGTGCATCTCTGAGGGGAAGGAATTTATGGCGTGTGTTGCTGTGTTATATGGAGAGGAATGTGCTGTCTGCTTTAAGGTGTCATATGGGGATGCTCTTGGTGACTACAGGAGCTTGAACTAAAACACCCCTGCGTGTGAACATCTGTGCTCAGGTCTAAGCGGGAGCAGCGCTTTCTCCAAAGCCATAATTATTTGTACTTTAAAAACATATATTTTTGTTATAAAAATGTTTTTTAACCTGAGTTTGATGTAAGGTGTCACTGAAGGCTAATAGGCTAACTGTTAATCTTGCTGTGTGTGTTAATATGGAAGAATCAGCCTGATCTCACGAGGAAACGTAAGTATTTTACGTTTTTCCAATTTAGTGGCTAATTCGTACAAATTCGTACTAGTTCAATCGTACGAAAACGTACGATTTTAAAAAGGAGGCGTGGCACCCAACCCCACCCCTAACCCCAACCATCATTGGGTGATGAGCAGATCGTACTAAATTGTACGAATTAGATTGTATGAATTCATACGAATTAGCCACTAAATAAAAAATTCACAAATTGCCGTGAGATTGCGTTGAAATAATTATTACAACTAGTATCAAAAATACTGTATTATCAATATTTTTATATATATGTATAACTATAATAACTTCTTATTTCTAATAATTTCTCATTTTAATATTTTAATAATTTCATAACTTTTTTCATTATTTAGTTTGTTTGTTTGTTGGTTGGTTGGTTGGTTGGTTGGTTGGTTGGTTGGTTGGTTGGTTGGTTGGTTGGTTGGTTTGTTTGTTTGTTTGTTTGTTTAAATTCTGAGCTAAGATTAAGGTTAAGATTATGGATCACATTCAAAATAAAAGTTTGCTTTGACATAAAATATGTGTATAATATATATATATATATATATATATATATATATATATATATATATATATATATATATATATATATATATATATATATATATATATATATATATATATATATATAACAGTTCTGTCTGGTTCTTCTATCTGATTGGCTGATAGCCGAGCAATATTCTACAATAACAGCACTCGTACAGCCTCTTTACTCTTGTGTATTACTCCGCCCATATAAAGTGACAGCAGATCAATAAACTCACTATAGTTTGACAAATATTGCAGCTGTTGGACAACATAATGTGCTTTTCAGGCTTTTTAGGCAAGAATGTAGTTGTTTAGATTGCAACTCTGCAGTTTATTCGCCTTTTTTAAATATTTATAGTTTCAAAGATCCAGCACATTGGCATCCATCAGCCTGTAATACTGAGCAGAGCAAAGGTAGTTGACGTTTCGCCAGAAGAAACCGCAAGCCCTTAGAGAAGAAAAACTCATAATTTCAAACTACAACTAATCAAATCATTATAAAACAGGTAAGTGAGATTTTAAGTCAATCTCTGTCTTTTGTATGATGTAGTGCTGTATTTAAACCATAGTAATCTGCTAGTGTTTGCTTTTCTTTGGCTTTTTTAGGGTTAATTACTGTGATCTCCCAATTGCAACAGAGAAGTACTGGGAAATCTCTGTAGACTGATGGCAAGCTGTTCATCCTTATTATCATAAAATGTGAGCAAAATCACCTGTTTTGTCATCACTTTAGACATTACGCTAGAGAATCATTCAACCACTAGCTCTAAAGTGATGTTGGTGAAGTAGCAATGGTTTATATATATATATATATATATATATATATATATATATATATATATATATATATATATATATATATATATATATGTATATTTATATATATATATATATATATATATATATATATATATATATATATATATATATATATATATATATATAAACATTTTCTCAAATATATGCATGAGTATATGCATAATTAATACACAAGTTGTCAAATCAAACTTTTATGTTTGATGCAATTTATTGAGATAAATTTTCCCCCAGCACTAGTTTGTTTGTTGGTTGACTTTTAAATGAATAACACAAAGTGTCTATTAATATTTCTATAACAGGAAAGGTAAGACAAATTAAGCATAATAATGATAACGATAACGACGGAGCTGCATTTATCATTCAATTTTCATGTTTAGGTATTTTAAAACATTTTTAGCAATGTTTTACATGTCCGTGAAGATTTCCCAAAGATGGGTTGCGGCTGGAAGGGCATCCGCTGCGTAAAAACGTGCTGGATAAGTTGGCAATTCATTCCGCTGTGGCGACCCCGTATTAATAAAGGGACTAAGCCAAAAAGAAAATGAATGAATGAATGTCTGTGAAGAAGAGAACATTCACAAGTGCTCTTTATACCAGGCGGCCCTAATTAATTAGATAGCCTTCTGATGGTGAACTGCGCCTCAGCAACCAACGCACCTATAAAATGTCCTCTTGAAAAAACACAGCAGTCTACAGCGCTTATAAGAGCAGCACTGGAGAGGATCCAGAGGAGCTTCCAGCCAGACGCACAGTAGCAGCACACACACTCACACACACAGAGAGAGAGACTCACTGGAGAAAGCGGAGATCAGCTGTATTCATGTTCAGGGGCGCAGGAGACTCCAGAGCTGCTCCATATAGTGGAAAAGCGCAGATGCAGAGCGCAGAGCTGCAAATGAAGATGAGCTGACAGGATGCTGGACGACTCTGAAACTACACTATAGCGACGCACAGGGAACTTTGTAAGTGCCTTTTGTTTGTTTTTAAGCAGCTGCTAATTAAACATTGCTTGATAAAATGTTATTTATTTTTTTATATATTTATTTTGAATTTAGCACATTTTCTAAATGATTCAGTGCATTCAGTTAATAAACAATTAAATAAATAAATTTAACTAATTGTGCTTTTAAAAGTGCTTTTTTGTTTTGTTTTTAAGCAGTTTCTAATTAAACATCTAATTTTTCAAATTTATATAGGCTACTGAATGCACTGAATAAATTATGAATTTAACAAAGGTATTTCATAAATTATACAATGCATTGAGTAAATAAATTAAATTCAATAATTGTTGATCTAAAAAAAATCACGAACTGTTTTTAAACAGTTACTAATTAAACTTCGCTTGATTAAACTTAAAGTATCGTACTTTTAAGGTATTTATTTACTTAATGCATTACGTATTTAACATATTCCATCAATTATTAATCCAGTAAATTGAAAATAAAAATATATAAATATTATCAGTAATAATAAATACAAATAATTCTTAAAATAATATCCATTACAATGCGGAATATAATTACAATGCGTAATATAAAATCTCGCAGAGACGTTTCAAATAACAGACTTTAATTACCTTCACAGGTTGCGTCCTAGTAATTTCAGGGAAAATATTCCGTGCACAGACTTTGGAGGTACATGTGGATTTGGCACATGGCAGTGAATGGAGATGAACACGGCAGTCTTCAGTAAGTTTGACCAGCTGCGCTTTGAGGAAAGCGGACAAAATGTGGAGAGAAGCAGCAGGAGTTATTTAGAGCTGATTGATGGACAACGTTCAGATTTACTCACAAGCCACAAAGTGATGGATGGCAACGACGCTCTCAAACACAGGAGAAATGGGTACGTTTTGAGCTCCATCATGAGTTATATCCTGTACATATATTTGATTCACTATAACGTAATGTGGCGGCAGGGGTATTTAAAATGGACGCGACCGTTATGCTTTTCCCGCCTCCATAATCATTAGTAAACAATGTGTGACAACTGTGTCGTCAGTTATAAAGTGTAAAAAGTTTCGTTTAGTAGTCTACCCAAACTAGCAGTTTTTACGGTAGTTTTTGTTTAACGATACTAAGTTATGTTTTTCCCGCCTCAACAGTGTAAGCAATGTGTGACAAAACTAGTAACGTTATCAGTTATCAAGTATAAACCTTTTTGTTTAGTAGTTTACCCACATAGTAATATAGCAATTTTTACTGTAGTATTTTTGAACGATACTATAGTAAAGTGTATTATACTGTACAACTTAGTTATGATAAATTGATATATAATATATAAACTAATAATTGTAAGAAATATTGTAGTGTACTTTAGTTATTCAAGTTAGTTCAGTTAGTTTAACTGTTGTGTATTGTAGCCTATACAATTAGAAAACCTAGAACAGAACTAGGTCATTCGTTTAGATTACAGTAAATTCTGTAGTAAAACAACTATTGTAGAGTTACCTCAGCAGACTAATTGTTGTACTTTACTGTGGTATTATTCAATTGTGTTTGAATAATAAACCACATTTATAGTAAATCAATAACTTTATAAAAATTGTCCTTATACTATTTTAACAACCCATTTCCTTCTCGAACAATTCTGAATGATCTTTTTGATCTACCTCAAATGTTAAATGTGTATTTTATTGATTTATTTTTGGTTATGATGTCAAAATGTTATATTACCTGCTGATAATATGCCATGTCGACAAATACAGTTACCTTGCCTATAAATTACTATAGTATTTTTTTTTTCATGTGGTTAATGACAACAGAGCAAAATGTTCATTTTAGGCTTCTGGCGGTAAATAGTACTTTAAAGGTAGATAGTAGATTTCTCCAATTTATGGAGAAAACATTACAGCCACTAGATTTAAAACAAGATTTATTGCTTGTTATCACAGAAAAATAACAGTGATGTGCTCCTCAAAGTCATGCATTAAAGTCTACTGGGTTATGTATTTTGATATTTAATAAGATAAAGATGGGCATGCTGCGCAGACTTGGTCCACAGTGACATCTGCTGATTGCCTTAATGCTATATCAACATCTTATAATCGGAAAGTCGTCTTTTAACGTTGAAGTTGAACTGCAGTGTGCTAGTCTTTGTTTACAAGATTATTTCTCATGGAAAGTGTTTGGGTTATGCGCTGACGACTCAATAATTTGTGTTAATATAGTGTGGTGAGTGCTATTGATGCTTTGTTGATGGTTTGTCAAAACTAAAACCTTAAAAAAATGTGCCTGTGTCTCCCATTAAATGTTATTTTTTGCAGACAATTATTATAAAATCAGCAAAGTAATTGAGGAAGACATTAGATTTATTAAATGATGAATGATTTGTTGAGTTGCGGTAAAGATGATATGTGTAATATTTACGTGGTATATTCCTTGAAGGGGTGGTTCACCCAAAAACGAAAATTTACTCTCTATTTACTCACCCTTAAGTGGTGTTATAAATCTTTATGGGTCTTTAACACTAAAGATATTTTGAAGAAAGCTGAAAAACGTTAACCATTGATGGAAAAACAGCTACTTTAGAAGTCAATAGTTACAGGTTTTCAACATTATTCAAAATATATTCTTGTGCGTTTAACACAAAAAAGACTCATACAGGTTTGAAACAAAGGTTTTGGGGCTCTTTAAAGTCATCAATCATTTGTAACATAGCCTAAAAAATATAATATGACATCTTTGAATATAAGAATGACATCTTCGCTTTGTGTTGTTGTGTTTGAGCAGTGGAGGGAAGGTGCGTCACAAGCGTCAGGCTCTTCAGGATATGGCTCGACCGCTGAAGCAGTGGCTCTACAAGCACCGGGACAATCCTTATCCCACCAAGACTGAGAAGATACTGCTGGCTCTTGGGTCCCACATGACCCTGGTTCAGGTGAGTCCAAACAAGCCAGTCAAATCAGTCTGATTGACACTAAAAATTGATCAGGTTTACACATGTTGGATCTAGATTTGGCTGAATGGACTCCAGTTTTGGAAATAGGTTCATATTACAACTCTCCTAGAGTTAAACTGTTGAGTTTTACCAATTTTTAATCCACTCAGCTAATCTCTGTGTCTGGCTGGAGAACTATTACCTTAGCTTAGCATAGAGCATTGAATTGGATTAGACCATTAGCATATGAATATATTTATTCGTTCATTTTCGTTTCGGCTTAGTCCCTTTTGTTAATCTGGGGTCGCCACAGCGGAATGAACTTATCCAGCATATGCACAGGACAGCAGACATAAGAAGAATATAAGCAGAATTAAATTAATACACAGGTGAACAAACAAGTGTTAAACATGTGAATCTAATAAACTAATAATGGGTTAACAAGGAGGGTGTGACTAGACAATAGACGAGAGAGCACATGACACAGAGACAACAAAAGCCATGTGCTCACAGAAAACGTGACAAGAACATGTAGCCAATGAGAGAACTCATTAAGCACGCGTTCACAATAACTGGACGAGACTGAAGCACGCGGCCACAATGTAAACACAGAGCCACGTGCTTGGACAACACAAATAGACACAAGACACGAGCACATGATAGATGAACACCTGACCGTGCGCTCACACATACGCAACACGCATGTTTAATTTCAGCGTCAACCAAAACCAACTAGATGGAGGAGCTGAGAATGAAACAGCGCAATGTCGACAGAACAAAAACACAAACACGAGTACAAGAGCACGCGTCTGAGACACGCACAGAGCCCGCGCGGCTGCATCAAGCACACAGAGACACACACAATAGCCCCTTTCACACATACAGACCTTTCCGGAAAATTGCCGGCAATTTTCCGGAAAGGTTGTATGTGTGAACAGGTCCTTTTTGAAAATACCGGTAAATTCGTTCTGGCTATTTTCCGGAAAGAGAAGTTGTAACATTACCGGCAATTTGCCGGAATGCTGCGCTGTGTGAATGCAGAAGGAAGATTCCCGTAATAAGCGCGTGCACGTCTAGAACGTGCTGACGTGAGACGTCTGCTTTAGCCAATCACAACAGTCAGACGCATTTAGGTCCGCGCGGTTTGAGGATAAAAGCCTTTGAATATTTTTCCAGACACATTTAGCTGCTAGAAGTTAGTCAGATCAAGTTTATATGTTCTTCTTGATGCCGACTGTGTAAATAATCATCGATGAGATGCTTATGATAAGCCGTTGTTTGTTTACCTTCAAGCTTTGCGTGCGCCTATGAAACAGCCTGTGAGCGCCTGCACACGCACATATTATGAACATCTCGACATGCGAAAGTGATCCTGCGAAAGTTGTTCACAATATTGATCATCCACAGAGTTTGTAATTTAGTCAAATGTTTACAAATACAAGCGCAGCCGTTTAAAGCTCATTTGTGGTGAATGATGTCAGAATTTACCGGTATTTTGGAATGGATGTGTGAATGCTCTTTTCCGGAAAATTTCCGTAACGTCCTCGCCTGTGTGAACAGCGCTTTTTTCAATATACCGGTAAAGTCGTTCCGGAAATTTTCCAGAAATTTACCAGTATCACTGTGTGAAAGGGGCTATTGACAGAAACAGGACAAGACAGAGCTAGTGTCCGGACTCTGCCACCAAAATAAGAATTTACAAGACCAGCGTGGCAGAACCCTGACAGAATCCAGCGTCTGATGAAAACGTTTTTCTTTTTTCCCCTCACTTCATATCAGATTTTGCCTACTCTTCATCATCATGAGGAAGACAAGTAGGAATCATTAACAAGTGTATGTATTATGAAGGACTCAGATTCATAGAACTGGATTGGAGAGGTGTTATTCAAGTCACATGCATTATAAGTTTACAATATAGAAGTTACGCATTAAAATACCCTTACATATAAATTTTTAATTTTAAAACTTAAAATTTAATTTAAAATTAATTTTCACTAATTATATTAGTATTTTTTAAGTATGCTTTAAAAATAATTTAAATATTTGTAGACTAGAAATATTTGTATTATACCATTTTTTTTTTTTAATGCGGGCAATACATTACAGATTCATTTTATTTAAAAATATTACATTAATCTTATTTTTAATTCAACTATAGCGGCCAGGTAGGGGGCCTACAAGATATTGGGCCCAGGGGCCTCTGAATTCTTAATCCGGGCCTGGACAACTGGGAGCTTTTATGGTTCTTCGGACTAATGGAAGATCTTTTAGAGGAGATTGGAATCTAAAGACACACTAGAACAGGGGTGGGCAAACTCGGTCCTGGAGGGCCAGTGTCCTGTACAGTTTAGCTTCAACACTAATCAAACACACCTGAACAAGCTAATCAGTGATCTTCAAGATCACTAGAAATCTGTAAGCAGGTGTGTTTGATTAGAGTTGTAGCTAAACCGTGCAGGATATCGGCCCTCCAGGACCGAGTTTGCCCACTCCTGTACTAGAATTAAGTGTGTTTAATAAAAGACTTAATGCCCATTTGATTGCCATTGACTTCCATTCTATGTTTGTTGCTACTATGGATCTCAATGGCTGCTTTTTCTCCAACATTCTTCAAAATATCTTGTTTTCTGATCAAAACCAAAAAGAAATGTGATGGTGAGTAAATAGTAAGGCGATATTCATTTTTGGGTGAACTATCCCTTTAAGGACTCTGACTTGACTGATATGAAATACCAAAAACAGTGGTTTGTTCTGAAGACAATCGAACAAAATATTGCTTAAGGGCGCTAATTGTATTGACCTTAAAATGGTTTAACAAAAAATTAACCTGCTTTTATTCTAACCGAAATCAAACAAGTAAGACTTTCCCCAGAAGAAAAAATATTATAGGAAATAGTGATATCATTGAAATACCAAAAACTTACCAAGTGTCATCTCGCATGAACATCCTCTTTCAACTTGGAGAATTCAGGCAGATGTGCTGAAGATCAGCTTGAAATAAATACATTAGTCTTTCTGACTGTATAGTGTCCAAACCCCAACGGCATCAAAACAACCCAACACAAAACCTCATTCCCAGCATTGCTTTTATCACAACTCAGAGGAGGCTTTATTGTTTGCATGCACACACACACACACACAAACGCAAACATATGGCCATGATGAACCAGCCAGAAAATTCAGCCATTGTCTTATCAATCCATTTTCCCCCTTTTTTTTCCATTTGCATTAGCGGTGTCATCTCGCTCCTATAGTTTCTCCTATGATAAACCTACATGATCACGTGTTGTAGTAGCTCAACGGAGGAACCGTCACTCTGAATTTGTTCCATTTGTAAACTATCGTAATTATAGATGGATGAAGAGCCAAGTCTGGAAATTTCTTATGTAACACTTCCAGTCTCCTGAACTTCGGCAGGTCTCTTTCTGAGGTCCACTGAAAACTCTTTTTGTTGGCTCATAAACAGAATCCTCATGAGAAGAGTAGGGCAGTGATGTGTGTTTGATAATGCAGAGCAGGTCTGTCTAATTGCAGTCAAATACCTGATTCTTGTGCTCTAAAAATGTTTTTCACTGAAGATCTTAAACGTTTAAACTGTTGCTCCAGTAGATTTATGGCACTACAGAGTAGTGCATGTGTTATTTATTAAGTGCTGTCTGTGTTTAATATCAAGACATAGATGGAAAATCGGGTATCATTGAGGAGCCACTCAAGCAGAAATCCAGATTGTTTGAAAGTATTAAAAATTTATTTATTTAATTTAATTTAATTTAATTTAATTTAATTTAATTTAATTTAATTTAATTTAATTTAATTTAATTTAATTTAATTTAATTTATTTTGTTTTATTTTATTTTGTTTTGTTTTATTTTATTTTATTTTTTTGCAGTTCATGGCTTGAAAATGCAAAAGCTACTACCTTATAATCAATCAAAATTGACAATCAATATGACTGTACAATTAATGTCAGATTAATTAATGTCAATTAAAGTCAAATATCTTCTCTTTTTATTAGTTATTATTTATTTTTATTTTATTTTAGCTGTTCATGGCTAATATGATTGTACTTTTAATGAAATCAAATATTTTCTCTTTTTAAAATGTTTTATTATTATAATTTTTTTAAATTATTTTATTTTATTTAGCTTTTATAATATAATTAATAATTTATTTTTTATTATTTTATTTTTTCTTTTTTAACTTTCCATGGCTTGAAAATGCAAAATCTACAGATTTATAATCAATAAAAATGTACATAAAATGGTTATCCATGGTTATTAACATAAAAATATCTTCTCTTTTTTATTAGTTATTATTAATTATTTATTATTTATTTTATTTTATTTTATTTTTGGCTGTCCAAGTGTCCATGACCAATATGATTATACTTTATATAAAGTCAAATATCTTCTTTTTTATATTTTATTACAATTTTTTAATGATTTCATTTTATAAAGTTTTTATAATATAATTAATAATATATTTTTTATTGTTTTATTTTATTTTATTTTGCTGCCTTGGCTTGAAAATGCAAAGCTACAAGCTTAAATCAATACAATTCTTTAATGACAATCAATATATTTGTACTAAGAATGCATATTTTCTCTTTTTTCATTCATTTTCTTTTCGGCTTAGTTATTTTTTCGGGGTCTGCCAACTTATCCAGCATGTTTTTACGCAGCGGATGCCTTTTCAGCCGCAACCCATCTCTGGGAAACATCCATACACACTCATTCACACACTCATACACTACAGACAATTTAACCTACCCAATTCACCTATGTTTGGACTGTGGGGGAAACCGGAGCACCTGGAGGAAACCCACAGAAACGCCAACTGACCCAGCCAAGACTCGAACCAGCGACCTTCTTGCTGTGAGGCGACAGCACTACCTACTGCGCCACTGCATCGCCATTTTTTTTTATAATTTATAATTTTATTTTCTTTGTCCAATGCAATGCTTGAAAATGCAAAAGCTACAACCTTATAATCAATAAAAATTGACAAGCAATATGACTGTACTATTAATGAAGTGAAATATTTTCTCTTTTTTGACCCATCAAGAAACAAGCTGCAGCATTATTGAACCAGTTGCAAACATTAAAAAATGGTCAATACATTCATTTAGGGAATAAAAATAGTAAAAGCTTGTTGAAACTAAGCATTATTGACACTAAAATATTGAAATGATTTGAGTTTTCATAGCCCACCACAATGTCAAAAGCTGACTCTAACAAGATTTGCATGTCAAATTTTAATTCAGCTTCAAAAAATGACGTCGTTTTTATTTCCACAGGTTCAGATATATTAGTTTACATTGCTCCTGAGTTTGAGATATGCGATGATATATATAAGTTGTGGTTTTTTGTATTAAACAATGCTGCATTTGTGTTTTTCAGGTGTCAAATTGGTTTGCGAATGCAAGGCGTAGACTCAAGAACACAGTTCGACAGCCGGACTTGAGCTGGGCTTTACGTATAAAACTGTACAACAAATATGTCCAAGGCAACGCAGAGAGACTGAGCATTAGCAGTGATGACACAGCATCAGATGGTATGCACAGATATACACAGAGATTTACCTGTTATATACAGTGTTCAGTGTATATGAGTACACCCCTCACAAATGCAACACAGGCTGATTGTGAAAATGTACTCCCGTATACATACCTGGAGAGCCCAAATTATATAGCCAGAGCTATGTATGGCTGCATTTCGTATTTTAAATGAACGCTACAGGGCGGTATGATGGTTTCTTTTCGCACTACTAGCTGGCAGGTTACCTCTGTGTGGATGGCTTTTCCAGTGTTACCAGTTTTCCCAGTAGCTCACCGCGTATGTTGGGGGATTTCTTTCGGATGAGACGTTAAACCGGGGTCCCGACTCTCTGTGGTCGTTAAAAATCCCAGGATGTCATCCGAAAAAGAGTAGGGGTTTAACCCCGGCATCCTGGCCAAATCTGCCCACTGGCGTCTGTCCATCATGGCCTTCTAACCCTCCCCATATGATAATTGGCTTCATCAATCTGTCTCCTCTCCACCAATCAGCTGGTGTGTGGTGTGCGGTCTGGCCAGAAATGGCTGCCATCGCGTCATCCAGGTGGATGCTGCACACTGGTGGTGGATGAGGAGATTCCTGGTGGATGAGGAGATCTAAAATAAATTGGCCGTAGTGCATGTGTGTAAATGACAGTGTGTATGGGTATTTCCCAGTATTGGGTTGCAGCTGGAAGGGCATCCGCTGTGTAATAGTTGGCGGTTCATTCCACTGTGGTGACCTCTAATAAATCAGAGACTGAGCCGAAGGAAAATGAATGAATGAAGTTAAACACTGTTTAAAAAATAGCCACTTGAGTAGCTCTACAGCCTCTGCTGACTAACAGACTCCCCAAGGTCCTAATGTCCACCTGGCAACACGACTGATTCACATGGGAAAAGTAAAAAGGAAAGTGAAAGGAAAATACACAAATAACAAAGTTATGTCATGAAATGCTTAGTCTTGATTTAAATTTGATTTTATAAGTCACCTAGAGGTAAATAGTTGAGTTTTACCATTTTAAATTCATTCAACCAATCTCCAGGTCTGGCTTGAGCAATTATAGCTTAGCTTAGCATAAACCATTGAATCAGATTAGACCATTAGCATCTCACTCTATAAAAATCATAAAAGATTTAATTTTCCTATTTAAAGCTTGACTTTTCTTTAAGGTCGACAGAAAATCAAAAGTTGCTATTTTTTATTTTATTTTCAGCTCAGTCCCTCGGGGGTCGCCACATCGGAATGAACCGATAACTTGTTGTGTATGTTTTACACAGCGGATGCCCTTCCAGCTGCAATCCATCACTGGAAAACACCCATAAACTCTCATTCATACACATATACTAAAGGGAATTTAGCTTATTCAATTCATCTATAGTGCATGTCAGAGGGAAACCGGAGCACCCGGAGGAAACCCACGCAAACACGAAGAGAACATGCAAACTCTACACAGAAATACCATCTGACCCAGCCGAGGCTCGAACCCACTGCACTAGTGTGCAGCCCATTTTCAAAGTCTACACAATATTATGCAACGCACCTACCAGGGGACTATTAATGGCACAATGGCTCAGTGCTTAGCACTGTCGCCTCACAGCAAGAAGGTCACTGGTTCGAGCCTTGGCAGGGCCAGTTGGTATTTCTGTGTGGAGTTTGCTTGTTCTCCCCATGTTAGTGTGGGTTTCCTCCGGGTGCTCCGG